AGTGAGAGAGGACAGGACCCCCAGAGGGGTCAGCCAGGGAGACTGCAACCGGCCGACCAAGCGGCGTAAGTGTGGTGCAGTCTCGAAAGAAGGAGCGAGAAGCTCCTGAGTCAAGAGTGAAAGTGAGGGGGGCCGAAGCCGACGTAGTACCTGAGAGCGCAGCCTCACCTGTACCTGAGGGCGCAGACGCACTGGCACCTAGAGCAAAAGCCTCACAAGCACCTAGCGCAGCAGTACCAATGCCCGGGTCGGGCGGGAAACACCGGTAACAGTCACCCTCCTCACTAATAGTCACAGCATACATGGCAGCAAGGATAGCATCAAAGTCAAGATCAAAGATAGCTACACCTGCCCTAGACAGCTCTCCCCAGCGGGGAATCTCACTAGCCTTGGGGAACTGCTGACGCCAAGCGTCCGTCAGGCGGCCAAAGCAGCGCTGGGTGGGGTGGGCACCCCCACACTGCTCACCCGCGCGGTCGCCGCAACGAAGGACGTAGGTGCACGGACCAGTACCCCCACCCCTCTGACGCTGCGTGTACCACTCACGGAGCTGTTGGGGCGGAGGGATGTCGCGCGAACACTGCTGCTGCTGTTGCTGCTGCTGGCGTTGACCACTACCAGCGCCGCTCCGCTGAGGGGCACCACCCCGACCAGCTCCACCTCCTCCGCCAACACCTCCTCCTCCTCCGCCTCCACCGCCGCCGCCACTCCCAACGCTGCCGCCACCACCGCTGCCTCCTCCGCCGCTGCCACCACTACCACCGCCTCCGCCACCACTCCCACCGCCACCCCCACTCCCTCCACCGCCTCCACCGCCACCTCCACCGCCCCCTCCAGCTCCACCCGCGCCCTTGCCCCCCTTGCCCTTGCCAGAGCGGCGTCTCCCGCTAGGGGCAGACGCCGCGCCAACCGACTCAAGACCAAGCAGGTCGGCAGCAGCAGCAGAGGCAACAGAGGGCAGTAGGGGGGAAGGAGAGCACCCCTCAAAGATGGGGGTGCGAGGGTCACCACGAGAGGCTCCTACAGCGACGATGCTCTTCTCCGCCGCTAGGAGGGCCTTCTCGAGGAGGTCGACAGCAAGGGTGGTGGGACAGACTGAGAGAAAGTGGTCACTGACTACGCGAAGGGAGTCAAGGAGGCGTGCGACTACGTAGTAGAGAGTGATGTACATGGGGGGTGGGTTCTTGGCGCAGAACTCAGCAGGAAGGGCGGCGCGGTAGCGAGTGTCACTAGTGCGGAGGTGCGTAATGAGGTCAGCGACAGTGGGAAAGGCAGTGAGGTCAGGAAAGAGGTATGGTAGCATGAGACAGCTGAGTGCAGCAGTGGCAGGGGAAGAGTAGCGCGCAACTACAGCGTCGTACAAGGTCTGAGCACTCTTGTACTGACTAAAGTGCGCGCGCTCAGTGGTAGGGAGGTGGCGACGCACAGCAAGACGTGCAGCAGCATCGCGGGTGGCCCACTGAGAGCGAACAGTGGGGTCAGCATCAGCAGAAGGGGCAGGAGAGGCGCCAGACGTGAGGTCAAAGAGAGAGAGACCGTCCGCCCTATCGCACTGTAAGAACAGCTGCAGGTCGTTGACCCAGACCTCAAAGTCAATGGCTCGACCCTCAGCGTCAAAAGGTAGGACACTAGGGGTAGCCATGACGACGACAGTGAAGCAGTGCAAGCAGTAGGGAAAGGGCACGCAGTGACAGCGGTACGGTGCTCACCGGGCAGGGCAGGTCGGGCGGCTCGGCAGAAGGGCGGCTCGGCGACTCAGCGACTCGGCTGCTGGGCGGCTCGGCTCCCGGGCGGCTCGGCGGCAGGGTGGCTCGGGTGCAGGGCGGCTCGGCTGCCGGGCGGCTCGGGTGCAGGGCGGCTCGGGCGGGGCGGCTCGGCTGCCGGGCTGCTCAGGGGTTCCGCTGCTCGGCGGTCCGGCGGCTCGGCGGCTGGTGCTGGGCGGCTCGGCTGCTCCGGTACCGGGCGGCGGGGCCGTGAGAGCAGGGGCGACGGGGCTGTGTGTAGGGGTGGCGGTGTCGCGTGAGCAGGGGCGGTGGGGCCGCGAGACCAAGGGTGGCGGGGCCGCGAGATCAGGAGCGGCGGGGCCGCGAGAGCAGTGGCGACGGGGCCGCGTGTAGGGGCGGCGGTGTTGCGTACGCAGGGGCGGCGGTGCCGCGAGCGGCGGGGCCGCGAGCGGCGGGGCCGCGACAGCAGGGGCGGCGGGGCCGCGAGCAGTGGGCGGCGGGGCCACGAGAGTAGAGGCGGCGAGGGCCGCGAGCTGCGGGGCCGCGACAGCAGGGGCGGCGGGGGAGCGAGCAGTGGGTGGCGGGGCCGCGAGAGAATGGGCGGCGAGGGCCGCGAGTGGCGGGGCCGCGACAGCAGGGGCGGCGGGGCCGCGAGCAGTGGGCGGCGGGGCCGCGAGGGCAGACGCGGCGAGGGCCGTTAGCGGCGGGGCCGCGACAGCAGGGGCGGCGGGGCCGCGAGCAATGGGCGGCGGGGCCGCGAGAGCACGGGCGGCGAGGGCCGCAAGCGTAGGGGCGGCGAGGGCCGCGAGTAGTGGGCGGCGGGGCCGCTAGAGTAGGGGCGGCGAGGGCCGCGAGTGGCGGGGCCGCGACAGGAGGGGCGGCGGGGCTGCGAGTTCAGGAGCGGCGGGGCCGCGAGGGCAGGGGCGGCGGGGCCGCGATCGAAAGGCCGGCCGCTAGGGCGGCTCGGTGAGAGGGTGGCCCGAGGCGCGACTCGGGATGAGTGCGCTTCGGGCAGGAAAAAAAAGATTCGAGTGGTGGGCCCTAGGTGCAATTCCCACAGGGAAACCTGCTCGATACCATGTCGAGAGTTAAACGAGAAAGAGTTAAGATTAAGTAGGGCCTAGGCTTAGTAGCCTAGGCCCAAGTAGGATATCGAGCGGGTTTCACCTAGGGTGAGTATCGAGTGAGTTGGAAGAGAAGTTGGGAGAATGTGTCGCTTCACTATAGTTTCGAAGTACATATAGCAAAGGAAAAACATAAGGTGCACCACCAAACAAAGTTTAAATAACTACACTAACTACAGCTACAGGCAGTTACAAATATAAGTTGTGACACTCCCCCATAACTGCTTGCAGCAGGAGTATGTGCAGAATACAACCTGCAGGTGTACACATGCAAAATAATAAAAAGCAAGCAACAGCAGGTAATGCAGGCGGGCTGACACTAGCTGGTCACCCCCTCCATCTCCTCACCCTCCTCCTTCCCCTCCCCCACACTGCTGCAGAAGCAGCAGAGAAGGGGGGAAGAGAGGAGAGGTGGAGGGACGGCTGCTTGTTGCCTCACACCCGCCACCCCGGTACCACTCCCCCTGCTCCCCCACATCCTCACACCCTCCCCCCCAGCGGCAGCTGCAGCGGTGGGACTGAAAGAAGGAGGAGGGAAAGGGAAAGAGTTGACCCAGCACTCCAACACCCGCCACCCCCATACCCTCCTCCCCACGGCTGCAGGGAGACAAAGGAGGAGGGAGGGGGGGTGGGCGGGAAGAAAGCCGCAGAGCGGCTAAACGATGTCGGCGCAGATAGGTCAGGGGCGGCTTCAGGGAGAACAGGGGCGGAAAGGCCCGTCGCGTGCCACGGGGCGCAACGACGGGTAAGTTAAGAGAAAGGGCCCGATCGTGTGCCACGGGGCGCACGACGAGCAGGGCACCGTCGCGTGCCACGGGGCGCACGACGGGCAGGTAAAGGGCACCGTCGCATGCCACGGGGCGCGTGACGGGCAGAAAAGGCGTCACACGCCAACCGGGGGCGGGACAAGGTAAAAATCGTCACGCGCCCTAGGCGCGCGACCGGAAAATCGTAGCAGCGGAAACGTGAGGCCAGAACGAACGTCGCTCTGATAACATGAGAAGAACTGAACGAGAATGAATGAACTATGAATGAAGTGAGTACAAATAGAAAACCCTAATTGGGTTGTACCCCCTATGGGATACCCCACTATAGCCTACACAACAGTATAAGCTATACAATGTTCTGACACGAAGCAGGGCGGGCGTTGCGGCTTGAGCGGCATTCGTGCCATAATGGCCTGTTCGCCACTTGTCGCCGCGAATTCCACGTGCCGACGGGCTTCACGGGGCTCCCGCGGGCTTGGTGCGATCCTGCTTCCTCCCATGCCAGGCATCGGTTGGGCGGCGCCATCACTGGCTGCGCCTGAGCGTTGTCCCATGCTGTCGTGTTGCGTTGGTGTGCCGGACGAAATGATGATCGGCTCGTCCGATTTTGCAGATGCATTTGTCGGTGTGTGTGATGTCACTGGAATGTTCACCGTGGATTGTTGACGGGCGGAGTCATGTTCCGCCGTGAGCGTCGCAATTTCGAGCGCCGAATCTTCAAGTTGGCGTACGAGACGATCAAGCTGCTCCTGCGTCAATGTGGCGAGCGTGAAATCGGCCATGACGGGGGTGTCGGGCGAGCTCAGCGAGAGCCTCGGTCGTGGCCGTGCGTGCTTACGAGAGAGAACTACGAGCGGCGGTGCTGTATCGCTGAGAGACGTCTACCCCCCCCAAAAATTGAGATAGCGGGGAAGCGAAAATGTGGGTGCGGTCCGAGAGGAGATCGTAGGCTCTGAATACCAAGTGTTACGAGTGCAATGGAATGATCAAACGAGAATTGCACTATCGAAGCAAAAATACATCGAGCGAAAGTATGAGCGAAGAATATATAGCGAAACTACAGTGGTAACGGTAATGGACTGTGGTTGTTGCGCGACGGGACTGGGACTGAGGTTGGGAAAGTGTCGAAGCGGACCCCGGAGCGCGGGTTACCAGCCGAGCCGTGAGGACGAGGTGCGATGTGCGAAAGTGGCTGGCTGATTGTCGATGCGGGGATCGCGAGTGGTAACGGTGCTGATTGTGGTGCTACAGTGATGTACGCGTTGAGCAGGGATGCGAAGTAAGGAAAAGTGATTTTCCTTACCGTACATTCGGTTCAGTAATATAAACCCATACCTTGTTTACATTTGAACAATGTACAACCATAAATGTTCAAATTTCTCCAGTCACAGTTCGTCTTTGAAAGAGACCCTCACTCTAAGCACACCTGCTAGCTTCTTATCGTTCACATTCAACACCCCTCCAGCCGAAACACCCTTTTTCTCTCCGCCCTCCTCCCCATTCACACAGCCCACTCCATCCATGAGCTCTTTCAGTGGCTTGGAAAGATTCGGCCGAGTTGCCTCTTCGAGCACCGCAGGGGCACGGAGGTAGAGGTTGGATCCATAGAAAGAGACGGACGGTGCTTGCAAGCGGGCGGCAAAACGAGAGTCGGCCAATAGCTGGACGATAAACTGCATGGAGGATACAATGAGCAGTGGGCAAGAAAGGAAAGTAATACACATGCCCTAGTTGCTGGGGATGGCAGCACCTGTTGCAGAAAACAAAAGCTGCCGCAAAGTGTTAGTGAAATGTGGATTTTGTACCGTGCTAGCAACCCAGATAACTACTTGCTGCAGAGTGCAATCAGCCGTGCCAGCACATGCCATGCACACATCACACATACCTGCTGCAGAGTGGCTGTGGAAGGCACGGTCACAGGCACGCCAGCGCTGCACACGAGGCACTCCGGGTCCCTCTCATATGCCACAGTGTGTGAGTAGACGCCCTGCGTGCCCACATACCTGTGGGGCGCACAAGTGTGGGGATTGGGACAAGTACGTGGGAGATTCAAGAGTGCATTACTTGATTAAGGGGCTCCAGCGCTGCACATGAGACACTCGGGGTCCCTCTCATATGCGACAGTGTGTGAGTAGACCCCCTGCGTGCCCACGTACCTGTGGGGTGGGGCCCACACATGTAGGGATTCGGATAAGGACAGGGGAGATTCAAGAGTGCTCTATCTTATAAAGGAAGCACGTGGAGTATTTTCCTACAGCACCTTGTTGTTCAGACATAGAAGCATGTTTAATTTACAACACCAGGTAACTCATGCATAGAAGCACACTCACTTACATCACACACTCATAGATGCATACAAACACATCCTTTCTCAACACACATTCATGCGTATAAGCACATTCACTTACATCACGTAGTTGTTCATCCCTGCGGAGCACATTGTAGCGATCTTGAGAGTCTCCAGCGCGCACACTGCTGATATGATGGCATTGGTTGATGCTATAGCAGGGATAATGTTCTTCACCACTCCCTGTATCGAATGCACCATGATGGTGTGGCACAAGAGAGGGATAATGGCATGGCATTCATTAGATGTTGGTGATATAGCGGGGATAATGTTCTTCACCACTCTCTGCATTGCATGCAAGGTCATGGTGGTGCGGCAGCAAAGGGAGGTAATTGCAGGGAAATGGGGTGTGTGACGATGGGAGGGGAGACGATGGGAGGGGATGGCAAGAAGTGGAAGAAACAGCTCCGGGTGGGCGTGGAGGGGGGTGGCAATGGCGACGCTGCAGGTTCAGGAAGAGAAGTCAATGGCGCGGAGAGGCGAGGTACAGAGCACAGAGGAGAGGCGGATGGCAGTAGATGTGCATGTGCATGGTGCATGGTGCATGGTGCATGTGCATGGTGCATGGTGCATGGTGCATGGTGCATGTGCATGGTGCATGGTGCATGGTGCATGGCATGGCACACACCTGCGTGAGGGAGAGAGTGACGCCTGTGATGCTGTGCTGCTGGGCACGAATGAGAGCCTGCCGCGGAGCAGAGAGGAGGTGGGCCGTGCGGCCGGAGGGGAACGAAGGGAAGAAGGGGAGGGGAAGCAGGGGAGGGGAAGCAGGGGAGGGGAAGCAGGGGAGGGGAAGCAGGGGAGGGGAAGCAGGGGAGGCGAAGCAGGGGAGGGGAAGCAGGGGAGGGGAAGCAGGGAAGGGGAAGCAGGGAGGGGAAGCAGGGGAGGGGAAGCAGGGGAGGGGAAGCAGGGGAGGGGAAGCAGGGGAGGGGAAGCAGGGGAGGGGAAGCAGGGGAGGGGAAGCAGGGGAGGGGAAGCAGGGGAGGGGAAGCAGGGGAGGGGAAGCAGGGGAGGGGAAGCAGGGGAGGGAAGCAGGGGAGGGGAAGCAGGGGAGGGGAAGCAGGGGAGGGGAAGCAGGGGAGGGGAAGCAGGGGAGGGGAAGCAGGGGAGGGGAAGCAGGGGAGGGGAAGCAGGGGAGGGGAAGCAGGGGAGGGGAAGCAGGGGAGGGGAAGCAGGGGAGGGGAAGCAGGGGAGGGGAAGCAGGGGAGGGGAAGCAGGGGAGGGGAAGCAGGGGAGGGGAAGCAGGGGAGGGGAAGCAGGGGAGGGGAAGCAGGGGAGGGGAAGCAGGGGAAGGAGGGAGCGGAGATTGACATGAGAGAAGCAGCAATAAACATGATAGCGGCATGAGAGGGACACGAATGAAGTACAGGTGGCCTTTGGAAACAGAAAGATGTGGTAAAACAGAAAGATGTGGAAAAACAGAAAGATGTGGTAAAACAGAAAGATGTGGAAAAACAGAAAGATGTGGTAAAACAGAAAGATGTGGTAAACAGAAAGATGTGGTAAAACAGAAAGATGTGGTAAAACAGAAAGATGTGGTAAAACAGAAAGACAGACAGACGTGGTAAAACAGACAGACGTGGTAAAACAGACAGATGTGGTAAAACAGACAGACGTGGTAAAACAGACAGATGTGGTAAAACAGACAGATGTGGTCAAACATCTGTATCAAAGGACCACTGTATGTGGTCAAACATCTGTATCAGAGGACCACTGTATGTGGTCAAACATCTGCACCTTGTGGTAGATCCACTGTATGTGCTCCAAGTTGTCCGCATCAAAGGACTCTCCTGGCCGCTCCTGGTGGTGATGCAGAGATGAGGAGAGGAGGAGAGGCGAGGCGGGGCAGGAAAAGTAGAGTGAGGTGGTGAATGGAGTAGGGACCGGGAAAAGAAACGAGAAACAGAAAGGGAAACAGACAGAGAAAACGAGAATAAAACAAGCAATCAAAACAAAGTGAGGAGTGTTAAGAGGGGGGAGCAAGTGAGGGAGGGTGAAAGACGGTGCAGAGCGCCAGGCGGAAGTTAATCTCACAATTTCACACGCACAGGCAAAAGCTGATCCGGGGAGAAGAAAAACGAATCCTTCTCCTTTCCCACACCCGTCCGCCTTCCTCCCGGCTGTATGCGGATCTCACCTCCCCTCACAGAAGGAGCTGTGCGCATCAATGTACTGTGTGGGCCAGGCAGCCCCACTCCGCCCCATTTGCTAATCCAATGCACCCCATGCCCTCCTCAGACCCCACCCCTCCGTCTCACCTCGCCCCACTGAATGAGATGAGCGTATTCAATGCAGTGTGTGGGCGACCCAGCCCCCCTCTGTTCTATTCGTTAACCCCCCTCCCACCACACCCAACTGAACATGCATCTCAACTCACCTCGCCCCACTGGATGAGGTTCGCGTATTCAATGCAGTGCGCGGGCGAGCGCGGGGTCTCAGCGAGCGTGCAGAGGGGGAACTTGGTCTGGGGGGGGAAGAGCCACAGCGTGCAGTGGAAGCACGGCGTCACCCCCGGGATGATCACCCTCGCGTGCCCCTTAAAGCCCTCAGCAGGCATGGCGGCACGGAAGCGGGCCTCACTAGTACGGAGGTGCGTGATGAGGTCAGCGACTGTGTGGAACGAGGCCAGGTCGGGAAACAGGTAGGGGAGGGAGAGACGGCCTAGCGCGGCAGAGGCAGGTGAGGAGTAGCGAGCAACTACGCCTGTGTACAGTGCCTGTGCAGTCTTGTGCTGACCAAAGTGCTCGCGTTCGTCTATTGGCCCGTGCCGCCGTCCACCATGGGGCGGATGGAGGTTAAGTCCAGCTCGCCTTCAGGAGAGTACTCTGGTGGTGAGGGAGGAGACGAGGAGAGGAGTGAAGGGATGAGGAGAGGAGTGGAGGAGGGGGGGACACTGGGTAGGAAGAAGGATCACTCCGGCATGCCCCTTAAAGCCCTCCGTGCCGCCGTCCACCATGGGGCGGATGGAGGTCAAGTCCAGCTCGCCATCGGGGGGGTACTCTGGTGGTGAGGGGGCGGAGACAGGGGTGGGGCAGGAGGGGTGGAGGAAAGGGGGGTGAGCACCCTCGCATGCCTCTTGAAGCCCTCCGTTCCCCCGAATGGAGGTCAAGTCCAGCTCGCCCTCAGGGGAGTACTCTGGTGGTGGTGAGGGAGTGGGGGAAAGGGGGGGTGTTGGGTAGGGAGAACGATGGTCACCCTCGCATGCCCCTTAAAGCCCTCTGTTCCGCCGTCCACCATGGGGAGGATTGATGACAGGTCTAGCTCGGCCTCAGGCGAGTACTCTGGTGGTAAGGGTGGAGTTGTGGGAGTGAATGGAGAGGAAGAGGAAGGAGGAGGGAGACTTGAAGTAGGGAGAAACATCACCCTCACTCGCATGCCCCTTAAAGACCTCCGTGGCCCAGTCCACCCTCGGCCGGATGGATGTCTGGCCTAACTTGCCATCAGGCGAGTATTCTGGTGGTGGGGAGGGGTGGAGATAGAGAGCAGGAAGGAAGGTACTGGCATGAAAACACTGAAGACCCTTGACCAAGGGTATTGACAGGGTGGGAGGCGCGACCAGCGACATTTGTGAAATGTGAAAAGCTGAAGGAGTGTCATCATGTCATGTCAATGTATACTCTGGTCTCATAGGAGCTAGTATGGTGAGGAATTGGAGCAACTGAATACCCCATGCCATGCCCACGGACGGAGAGTGCACATGGCAATGACAATCTGACAATAAGCTCAAAATTCGTTTGCAATATAGAGAGTTCCTTTCCCGTGCACTTCGCTGCAGCCCTCACCACATTAAGGCATGACAGTGCAACGTGCACTTACCTGCAGACTGCATCTCCATGTGGGTGGCAGTCATCCAACCAAACGACTGCATCTCAAGGCGCGAGATGATTGCAGGCTGCTGCACGTGGGTGGCACTGTGCAGGCAGTCATCATGCAAATCGCTCACCATGCAAGCCACAGACAGACCTGTGTTATCCATCCAAACCTAGGACTCACCTAAAAGGCCACAGACAGGGCGCACCTAGGAAGCCACAGACGAGGCTGTTGATGTAGGAGCGTGCCTCCAGCGAGTCGAGTCCCACCAAGATGATGTTGACGCCTGCTTGGCACTGTGCGCATGCAGTCATCTTGCAAGCATGCAGTCATCTTGCAAGCATGCAGTGCAATTCATCTAAGTCTAGAGCAAGCGCACCTAGGAAGCCGCACACGAGGCTGTTGATGTAGGAGCGTGCCTCCAGCGAGTCGAGCCCCAACACGATGATGTTGAACGCGCTGAAGAAGGAGGCGGGCTTGTCCTCTATGCGACAGAAGTGAGGGGTCACCTGGTGGGGGTGGGGGTAGGTGGGGGTGGGGCAGGGTGGGGCAGGGTGGGGCAGGGTGGGGAAGGGTGGGGAGGAGGCGGGGGAGGGGGGGGATTGCTGAAGAAGAGGCGGGCTTGTCCTCTGTGCGACAGAAGTGCGGTGTCACCTGGTGGAGTGCGGTGGGGAACGAGCGGGTTTAGAGGAGGGAGTGGTGATGTGGAGAATAGTGAGAGGTGTCAGGAAGCGAGTGACGAGTCCAGCCAACACCAACACGATGACGTTGAACTTTTGAGAATTCTCATAAGTCGCACCGAGAAATCTCAAAAGTCGTACCAATACTCGCTGAAGAAGGACGCGGGCTTGTCGTCTATGCGACACAAGTGAGGCGTCACCTGGTGGGGGTGGGGTGGCGTGGGGTGGGGCAGGGTGGGGGTGAGGGAGAGTGGTGCTACATAGAGGGGAATGAGTTTGGGGGTCGGGACAGGAGATAGCGAAAGGGGTGGGAGAAGGGGGTGGTTGAAGAGAGGGGGAATATAGCAGAAAACACGAATTGCAGAAGTGACAAGAACCCCCATTCCCTCTCCTCCGTTTAACTCGGATGACTTTTGAGTCGTCTCAAAAGTCAGCCCATTCCCTCTCCTCCGTTTGACTCGGTTTCCCCCCCCTTCTCACCTTCACCCCGCCCACGCGGCTCATGACTCGCTCTGCTGCCACCACCGCCTTGGGCTTGCCCACATCAGCCGGGCTGCACGGAGGGGTATGGGGCAGAACGAGGGGAAGGAGGGGGCACGTGGGGGTAGGAAGGGGAACAGGGGAAGAGTCAGGGGGGGGCGGGAGGGAATGCGGGAGAAGACTTTTTGAGTGCCAAATGCTCTGCTGCCACCACGGCCTTGGGCTTGCCCACGTCAGACGGGCTGCACGGAGGCGAGAGGGGGTTGCATGCAGGGGAGAGGGGAGAGGGGAGAGGGGAGAGGGGAGAGGGGAGAGGGGAGAGGGGAGGGAAAGACTTGCCGATTGTCACTCGCTCTGCGGCCACCACGGCCTTGGGCTTGCCCACGCCATGCTCTGCTGTTCAAACACTGTAGCAGTCCCTACACTGCAGAAGCACTGTTCATACAATATAGCAGCACTGCAGCGTACCGAAACAGGAACTGTCTGCTGAGTTTAGAGACATCAATGGTATCCATGTCAATCACGTCTATGCTCCCACACCCCACCGAGTACATGCACTGTAGCATCAGCACTGCATCTCACCAGAAGAGGAATTGGCGGTTGAGGTTGTAGACATCGATGGTATCCATGTCAATCACGTCTATGCTGCCACACCCCACCGAGTACATGCACTGTAGCAGGACTGTTTCTGCGCTGTAGTGGCACTGTAGTGGCACTGTAACCCACCGGAAGAGGAACTGGCGGTTAAGGTTGGAGACGTCGATGGTGTCCATGTCAATCACGTCGATGCTGCCAAACCCCGACAGCACCAGGTCCTTGAGCAGCTCTGTTCGTACACAGTAGCAGTACTTTGTGTGCACTGTGTATGTAGTGTATCAACTCACCGGAACAGAAACTGCCTATTAAGGTTTGACACATCGATAGTGTCCATGTCAATCACGTCTATGCTGCCAAACCCCGACAGCACCAGGTCCTTTAGCAGCTCACAGCCCAGCCCGCCTGCTCCCACCACCAGCACTCGGCAGTCCTCCTTCAAGAAGTCGCGGATCTGGTTGAATGGACATGGTGGGGAAGGGGTGGCGAGGAGGAGGGCGGGGCAGGTGAGAGGTGGGAACGGGGTGGTACGGAGAAAAGGGTGGGTCACAGCAGGTGTTTGAGCAGCTCGCAGCCCAGCCCACCCGCTCCCACCACCAGCACTCAGCAGTCCGACTTCAAGAATTCGCGAATCTGGTTGGTTTGATGGGGTGGTGGAAGGGTGGGGAAGGGGTGGGAAGGAGGAGGAGGGGAATCACAGCAGGTGTTCGAATAGCAGCTCGCAGCCCAGCACGCCCGCGCCCACCAGCACACGGCAGGTGGGAGGTGGGAACGGGGTGAAACGGAGATTCGGAGCATAGGGCAGGTGGGAGGGTGGGAAAAAGGGGAGAGTGGGAAAAGGAGGAGAATGGGGAAGAGTGCGGCATGTTGGTGGGGCACTGGGATCGTTCCCCAGTAGAGTGCGGGAGGACTACAGGTGCGCTACCTACCCACCATACAAACATGCCCTTTTAACCCAGGCGGTAGCACGCTGGGCCAACACGGCAAGCATGAGAGTTAGGAAACGGAGGGAACGGGACGGAGGAGAAAGAGCCGCTAAAGGACCCATAACCGCGCCCAGACCAGAAGCACACTCCTAGGAGAGCACACGGCACTCACACTCACTTGAGTGAGTCACGAATGCGGCTGGTAGGTGTGGGGCAGGAGGAGGAAGGGGTGGGATGCCACTTGTGCGAGCAGGCGACAGAAGACGAGGGTGGGGAAGGAGAGCGACGCGCATGACAGCAGGGCCTGCAGCACAGCACCGTGCAATCCAGCCCGCCTGATCCCACCCCGCACCATGATACACAGGCGGCGTGGATACAGGGCCCACTGCCTGCCTGCTGCAGCGCCTGCCGCACAGCACTGTGTATCCTCCTGCCAGCCATGGGTAATGATGCGACACGCATGCCTGGCAGGAGGATACACCGGACGGGCTAAATGCTTAGGGGACCTAGGGTCGTGTGACAAGCTGGTTTCTCAAGCGCAGCGCTGCTTATGGATCTGAAACGAGTCCGTCAATATCGCGTACGGAAGTACCTCCGGCGAGGGTTCGAACCCAGGGCCGACGAGCATCCCTGGTCGCAGCAACAGACGGTCCAGATCGCGCCATTGCCCCTCCAGCTCCATCGCTGCGCCCTCCGCTGCAATCGCAGCCGTTCGTCGAGGCGACGATCAACGCGCCGGAAGTACCTAAAGCGGCGCGAATGCTCCCCGGGAACTGCTGTTCTGCGCCGCGCGTCGTGGAGCCGTCGATCAACGCGACTGTCTCCGATCGACGGCTCTACTTCACCAAGGCGAGCGAGTGAGTGTGGTTTCGAGGGTCGCTGAGTGCTCCGCGCGTCGCGTCGCCGATTGACGGGAATTGGAAACGTACATAACCATAAGTCGTTTCAGAAAGAGAGAAGGTTGCCAAGGCTGGGATTGTTGCAGCACGCAGAATGAGGGCGAGGAAGGTGAAGCTCCAACGGAAAAGCGGTACTGGTGGGTGGCACGGCTAAACAGGGCGATTTCACTGAGTTGGATGCTCAAGGCCATTGTGTGATAATATATGTACTACCGTAAAGTGCCACCTATAGGACCCGCCGGTAAGAGGGTCCCCCGGGACTCTTGAATGGGTAGGGGGACTCTTATTGTGGCAGGTTTTGTGAGGACCCCCGTGTGTAGCTAATCATTATAAGACCCCCCCCTTTCCATATAAGGCCCTATTGAGTTTGGTGCAGTTAACATTGTTATCGTTGTTACCTACTGTACTACATACACATCTCAACACCTAGTGGTCACTACAACTATGGCTTGGTCATGTTAGATTCCATCAAGCACTTAGCGTTCGCGTCCTCCTCCAGCCCACCCTCCGCCTCCTCTTCCTCGTCATCCACATCGTCGTCGTCGTCGTCGTCGTCGTCGTCGTCGTCGTCCTCCTCCTCCTCCTCCTCCTCCTCCTCCTCCTCCTCCTCCTCCTCCTCCTCCTCCTCCTCCTCCTCCTCCTCCTCCTCCTCCTCCTCCTCTAGGTCCCCGGCATCCTCAGCATCCGCAACCTTTGCCGCCTCCTCATCCTCCGCGGCTGTGGCGAACAGTGGGTTCACCCACTCCTCCACCTCAGGGGCGACGTGCACGTCTTGTGCCACCTCGACCTCGCCCGCATCACGCATGTGGGCCAGGACGAGGTGATCTTGCTTCCCATCGACCGAGTTGCTGATGCCTGTCGTGAGAAACGCCTTCTCAATAATGTGCTCGGGGACGGCCGCCCAAGCACTCGCAATCCACTTGAGGACCGTCTCTGCTGGCGGCTTCTTCAGGTTGCCTGCCATGTAAACAGGAAAGAACAGGCACGGGGCGCACACGGGGAGTTATCATAAAGCCAACAACCAGCTACAAACACGCCACAAGGCGAGGTACTAAGCACGGCACCGAAACTCACCGGCTTTCGTGAATGTGTTGACGCCAAACTCGGCAAACCAGTCATTGTAGAGCTGACGGAGCAGTGCCTTGAATGAGCGATTAACGCTCACATCAAGGGGCTGTAGCAGTGGGGTGCAGCCCCCGGGAATTATTGCCGGAATTACCCGGTTCCACTTCATGTTGGTGAGAACGCCGTCGGTGAGGTGGCCCCGGTACGAGTCCACGACGAGAAGCGTCTTGGAACGCCGGATGCCACGCGGAGGCTTGATGAACGACAGCAGAACGTTATTCACCCAATCATCCACTAGCTTTGCATCCATCCAGCCTTTCGCCTGCGCACGAACAACGACTCCTGCAAAGAAAACAACGCACGTGGTTAGAAATCCGCCACGAAGAGAGACTACCGTGATGGTTACAACTCTAGCAACTCACCTGCAGGGACCCGAATTTTCGGGATCGTTTTGCGCTTGAAGATAACCATGGCGGGGAGCTTGCGCCCGTCCGCAGTGATCCCGAGCATGACAGTCACCCTGTCCTTCTCGTAGCCTGCGCTTCTGACGTGCACCGTCTTCTCTCCGCGGTGATGCAGGGTGCGCTCGTGCGGCATCTCCAGGAAAACGGGCGTCTGGTCGGCGTTTATAATGTTCCATGCGTCTATGCCATGCTTGATTATGTTCCTCCTCGTGAACGCCCAGAACTTCTCACACTTCTGCCTGCACTCTGCCTCGGACGCGGACAAGGCGGGAGAAGGACATTAGTGACGGCGGCGGGTTAAGCATTAGTGTTACATGTCGCCAAGCAAACTATACAAGCACACACACGGAGGGAAGCACAAGATAACTCACCCGATGCCATACGGTGACCCATCTTCGTCTTCACGCGAATGGAGAGGCCCAAATGCTGGCGGAAGCGAAAGGTCCACCTGTTGGACGCCATCCACCTCACATCAGGGTAATGCGCCTTCATGTAACACCGGCTCCAGTGCTTGAGGAGACGAATAGGCACGGCCAAGGCACGTCCGCGGAAGTTCAGGAGCCGCTTGTAGGTATGCGCCTCCATGTCGGGATATTTCGCCTTTCTCCCTCCACCACTAAGTCGGCGCCTGGACGGTGCCACCTTCTTAATCCGATCCGCCGCCCTTATCCACCGGCGGACGCTGACAGGCTGCACCCCGGCGAGACGTGCAGTGGCGCGGACAGAGAGCTTCTCATCGTCCATCCGCGCGAGCCATTCCTGCTTCTCACCCATGGTTCGCGCAGTGCGACGGTGGTTAGTCTTGCGGGCGCTGTGAACTGCTGGAGCACCGTCAACGTTGGAGCGAGGCCCGTTTTCGTTGTGGATCAAGTCATCCGGAAACGTAGGGATCGGGAAATCCCCGACGTCGTCTTCCATGTTCTCGTTCTCGGCATTCGTCTCGTTCTCACCGTCCTCAGCGACGTGTTCAGGAAACCCCTCCTCCTCGAGCGGGTCCAAAGGAGGAGTGGTGCGCCAGTCAGCGAAGCCCGGGGGAAGCACAGGGGGCGCAGGTGGCGCCGGAGGCGCAGGGGGTGCCGGAGGTGCGGGAGGAGCTGGAGGAGCTGGCGGGGCCGGGCTTGTGATCAGTATGATTGGGCGCTGGCCAGACCCACTTCCTACCGCCATACTGCGAGAATGCCATGGGCTTTCGAAAGCCGACATGGCGAAGAGCTGATACACTTCTAAGGACCTATGGTTCACTAAATGGCAGACGCCATGGCGGGCTATTTAGATGGGTAGGAAGCTAGCCGGGCGGACAAGATCTGAAACAGAGGGAGGGAGGGGATGAAAGCTTGCGTGTACGGTAGAGTGAGGGACGTGAAACTCTAGTGCTTCACGTCCAGTACCCATTCTGCCACAAAGACATGATGGGGTGGTCAAGGGCCACCTGACGTGCCCATCTTAACGGAAACACCGTCGAGAGGATGTGAGGTGCGGGGCAAACGCCGTTCAGTCCGCCCCGTGCTCTGATTTTCGCCGCGTGTCATTCCCGATGATGCGCACGTGGGGCACCAAGCTAAAGATTCTCGCGTGAAAAATATAAGACACCCCCCCCCCCCCCCCCCCCCCTACCGAGCTTGTACATGGTAAATCCATTAATGTTAATAGACAAATAAGTGTACCCCGGTTCTTAAAAATTTGCAACCGCCATAATGTCCACCCTAGCATTTTTTCCAGCATTTGTAGAGAGTCCCCCGGGTCCTATAGGTGGCACTTTACGGTACCTGCCTCACTGTTTCTATATAGCAGAGTGAGGTGTGTTTCAGCAAAATTAACACAAGTAGGTGTGTACAGGGCCTCAGATTTCAGGAATTTTACCCTTATTTCCTGATGTTTTACCCCAGTTTTTTATTGTGACCTTGATCTATCAGCCTTTTTATTTTTACAACCCTGATGATTCAGTGTTTTTTGTTTTTAAAGACTGATTTTCCAGTGTTTCCTGTTTGACGACACTGACGAGTCAGTGTTGTATTGGAGACGACCCTGAAACCGAAAACTCCGTGGTTCTCGCTGTTTTGCGCACCGTCATCATTCATGTACCCACCCTGCACCGACGCCACCCAGCTGCTCACCGAGATACAGATGAACGGGGTAATTTTGGGCATTGTTGGCAAAACGACGCAAAGAGATTGGCTGTCCAAGCTGATTCAATGTACCGTTGTCACTGAGGATAACCAACACTTGTCATTTCTGGCCTTGGATGCACACAAACACGCCTAGCGGCCCAGTGGGCTAGTGGTAAGCCTTGTCCTTTTCACCAAGCTAGGGCGTGCTGGGGCAGTCCGCTCAGCCACCCCATGCAGGGGGTCTCGTGATTCTCTCATTAGCTCTCCAGACTCCATCCCTTTCGGAAACATCCCTCTCTGCTTTCTCTCTGAAACCATCTCGGCAGGCTCTCTCTTTCTCTCTCTCTCTCTCTCTCTCTCTCTCTCTCTCTCTCTCTCTCTCTCTCTCTCTCTCTCTCTCTCTCTCCCTCTCTCCCTCTCTAGATACTACTCTGCAATTCAGGAAGTTGGCATGAACGCGCCATGGTGATCATCGGTGAGAACAGCACCGGTGATGATGACGACGATGCCCTTCACGCCGCCACAGAGATGCGGGAGGCCAAAACAGGACTAGATTTTCTAGTCTCCGTGCTCTCGCATGAAAAAGAGAAGCAAGCTTCCTTCACTTCAGGAGCATACACTGGTGACGCGTCTGACCTCTGCCGCGGCGACGATCGCCCCCAGCCCGCGCATACTGCTAAGCCGGTCGTGGCGTAAGCAGCTGGCCCGAGCGTCCGCTTGCCAGCTGCTGGTCGTCATCAAAGCATCCGCCTCGTTACAAGCAGGCCGTGCTCCGCTGGGCTGATCCAACAGCTCCTGACCATCCTCTCGCTGATGCGGGCGAGTCGGTAAATGACGTTACGGCCACTCCATCCAAGTAAAAAAAAACAGTCACTAACCACTTTGATTTACGAGGATGCGTTGGACTCGTTCAAGTCCACGTGGTCGACAGACTACCCATGGCTCGTACCCATCAAAACCACTTCTGGCATGCCTGTGTTCAAGTGCACATTGTGCATGGACTTTGTAGGTGACGGTGGCAAGTGTGGCAAGAGTGGGCACGGTGCAACCGATCTTCAGACCCAAGCCTTCAAGCGGCATGCCGCGATGAACAAGCACCAGTTGGCCAAGGAGCACAAGAAGAAGATGCTAGCTCAGGCTAGGAAGCAGCCGCGGATTGACCAGCATCCGCTCGCCAAGGATGACGAGACGAACCGCGTCATCGCCCTCCTAAACTCCCTTCACTTCACAACCCAGGGCCACCTGCCGATGGAGACGTGGGTGAGCCTCGTTCGGTACATAGCTAAGAACGAAGTGCGTGGCTTCCCCAAAAAGGGATACGTCACTTATTACACAACGTAAGTTCTTGGTATTCCATCCGCGCATGCAGTGAACAGCCTCTCATGTTAACAACCACATAACCGTAATGGCTTCGGGGAACTCATACAGGCAACGGCAGTGTGGCTGCAGACCACACAACTGGAGCAAATTCTCACAAGCCATTACATCGGCCTCAGCTGTGACGAGTTTACGGACAGATGCCGTGGGAAGCATCTCATCATCTACACCACATTCATCCGCGATGGGGCAGTAGTCACTAAGTTTTTCGCCCTGCTAAGCGTAGACAAGGCAGACGCCGCCTTGCTGGTGGGGTTGCTCTTATCCCATGTCAATGCCGTCGGCATTAACCTGCGCCGAATCATGGGCATCAGCACCGACGGAGCGAGCGTGATGGTCGGATTCAAAAACGCGCTGGTGTCGAGGCTGAGGACGCGCATACCGCATCTGGTTTCCTGCCACTGCATCGCTCACATGTATGAGGGTTGATGCGCTTTCCCCTGAGTTTTAGTTATCTGCAAGAAGTTTTCTACCTTCTACTTACCCTAATGCGTCTATTGCTTATGTTAATCGCAGGGAAGCGCTCGCGGCCAAGGACGCGGCAGAGTCCCTTCCGGAGTTTGGCATGGTCGACAGCTTCATCCGCTGGCTCTCCACCTACCTCAGCTCATCTGGACCCAGGCACCAGCGGTTCCTGGACATGCAGGAAGTCTTCACTCAGACTATCCTGGAGCTCCAAGGAATCAATGATGTGCGTTGTCTATTGCGCAGAGATGCAGTCGGGTGAATTCTTGCAGTCCTGCCAGGTGTCGTTGTGATGGTGCACGAGCTGGGAAACAAGCCCATATACCAAATGGTAACAAGCTACAGATTCCAATTCATGCTGCGCTTCCTCGCAGAACTGAACGTGCTCAGCAAGACGTTCTAGCATCGACAGGTGAGATTCTGCTTTTGCCGTGATTCCCACAACACTGCACATTTATGTGTGCAAGCACCGGCCACGAAGACTCTGACGCATGCGCCTCTGGCTCATGTTTGTTTTGTTATATGATTGATACTTTGCCTTTTTTTTTTCCTACTATTTTGTGTGGCAGATCGACCCGCTGGCGGTTCAAGGCCAGATCCGTCGCACGACAACCCACATCAACAGCCGTTATATGGATTATAGCGACGACTTCGGAGGCGGCCTAAGCGAGAAGCTGTCGCCCTTCATTGCACGACATGGACCGAACTGGGCCATGTTGAAGTCTCCCAACTGGGAGGACGCATACCCCAACCTGGTGAAGATGTGGGTGGTTGTCGCTGTGCTAGTGTTAAGCACAGTCAAGAACATTATCAAGAGTTGGCTGAGGGGTGCCATCAAGGATGTGCGGCTGTCGGACCTCATATGCATGGCATTGCTGCCGTACGAGCCCGTTTGGGTGCATGTGGTGAAGATCTGGAGGGCGTACAAGAAGCGCAAACCCATCACAACAATGGCAGCACCAAAGAAGCAACCAAGTGCTAAGGGGAAAGAGAGGGTGGACGAGGATGATGCTGGTGCTGGCTCTGGGTGGGGGACAGAGACCCCCATGCACGTATCTATGAGCGATGGTGCTAGTGACGATGATGTTATGCTGTGCATAGAAGTTCACTAGAACAAAATGTAACTTTCTAAAAGTTAATATAATAGTGGTTGTAGATTCACTGATCAGTGTTTTTTGAAAACGCACCCTGTTTGATTAGTGTTTCTTTTCCAAGAACCTTGAGGAATCAGTGTTTCTCCACAGGCAACCCTGATAACCAGTGTTACACCTCCAAGGGACCGTGAGTGCTCAGGGTCAACATAAACGAATCTGAGGCCCTGGGTGTGTTTATCTTGTCCTGAAGTGGCTAAAGCATCTGAAGATTCAACAAGCAGTGCATTCACTTCACGTGTAATGGCCGGTTTGTTGTAACTTTTACGTGCCCTGATGCTCCCTGGACCCTGGGTGTCAACAACATGTGTTGTCAGCAACCCCTTCAAACTGTTGTGGTATGTGCCATGAATCTCAGAAAGGGTTTGCCAATGGCTCAACCATTAGGTGCATGCCGAAACTCGCCCGCAGAGCGACAGCGCTGATGGGGGAGTGCTTGTAGGCGGGGGAGAGGCGCCATGAGAACTGCCTGAGGATGTGCGCCAGCACCACCTTTGTTTCTGTGAGGGCAAAGTTGTTGCCGATGCAGATACGCGGGCCCGAACCAAAGGGTAGGAATGCTTGAGGGTGAGAACAGGCTTCATCTGTCCCTTGTGGCATGGGTGGGGTTTGAGGAAGGGTATGAGGGAGAAGGGGCAAAAGGGGAACGTGGTATAATGAGTGTAAGCCACAATGACTTGAAGTTATGTGGAAGAGGAATATCACGGGAAAGAACAGGGAAGGGGAAACAAGAGGAGAAAAGGGCATAGGCATGCAGACAAGAGTTGCGAAGAAACAAGTGGGGAGAAACAACAAAACGGATGCGGAAGGAGGAAGACAAGGCACGGGCAACAAACGAGACTGGCTCGCGAAGCGATAGAGGTTGAAGTCTAGGGCATGCGGGCCCCAGAAGCGATTGCAAGACGGCAAAGGAGAAAAATAAGAAGGCAAAGAATTGGGCAACGATGAGGGCACGGAAATAGACTGACTAGAGAAGCGGTCGGGGTTGAAGTGGAGGGCTTGAGGGCCCCAGTAGCGCGGGTCATAGTGCAAGAGAGCAACTGGTATCAGCACGTTCACACCCTGCGGTCGTCGTACGGGCCCAGCCTTACTACCTGGAGAGGGTGCGGAGGAGAGAGAAAGCAGGAGAGGGTGAGGAGGAGGGGGTGAGGGGAAGAGAGTGAGTGGGTGGACGATGAGGCTGAGAGCTGCAGAAAGACGGAACTAGAATAAGCCCCCCTCCAACCATCTGAACCCCCCCCCCTCCCCCCCAAGTAACAAACACACCGGTGCCATTCGGAACCCGCGGCCCATGTGTACCTGCTGGCACGTGTGGCCCATGTGTACCTGCTAGCACGTGCAGCCCAGGAAGGGGACGGGGGGGGGGGGGGAACATGCGCAGGCTCTCTTGCAGCACCATGCCCATGCCCCTCAGTGCCCTCTCTCTACACCACTTTCCCGTACATTTGACCCCTCCCCAACCCCACATGTGTGCATTTGACCCTGAAAGTGTGTACCTGCTGGCATGTGCGGCCTAGGAAGGGGACGGGGGGGGAACATGCGCAGGCTCTCCTGCAACACCATGCCCATGCCCTTTAGTGCCGCCACCACCTCCTATGTCACCCGCCCCCCTCCTCCTCTCTCGCCTTCCCCTCGCGCTCCTCCTTCTCACTCTCCTTCCTCCTGTCCTCCCTCCTGTCCCTCCCCCAATCCCTCCCCTCCAGACCCCCCTTGGCTTCTCCCTTCGTGGTTTCCTCCACCTGCCTCTGACCCTGCCTTGTCTGGTGCTCCTTCTTCCGTGCTGGCGGTGGGGACTGCTGACGTGGCCTGTGCCCCCTGCTGAGTTAGCGCCTGCTTGAGCTCTGCTCGCAGCCGCTCGTGCCAGTCGGGATGCTTCGCCAGAAGATAGAACGTCCACGTCAGCAGGTGCGCCGTGGTGCTGTGGCCTGCCGGTAGGGGACGAGGGGGAGAGGGGCACAGAGGAAGATAGGAGGCGACAAGGGAGGAAGATGGGAGGCGATAAGGGAGGGGGCGGCAGAAGGAAGATGGGCATTGGTGAAACAGGAAGGGGAGGTGTGACGATGCACAGAAAGGAGGTAATGCAGAGAAGATGGTTGATGTCTCGAGTGTCGTAGGAGGGGAGGGCGGAGGGGGGCGGGGGAAAGGAGGGTAGCAGGGAAGCAGAGGGGCTGAGAAGAATGGAACGGGAAGTGGAGTAAGAGTGGATGTGGGCTTGGGAAGGGGTGGGGAAGGGAAGAGAAGGGAGGGGAGAAGGTACAGCGGGGTGGGGCAGTACCAGCGAGGAGAAACGGGAGGCATGTGTAGTAAAGAGACGAATATTGAAACAAACATTGAGACGTTTTGAGAGACGCGACGGCATTCGTTGCTTCACGCCGACTTGAAAGTGTGTTTGAATCAACTCGATTGAGAGCATGAAGTCAGAACGAGCATACCAGCAAGGAGGAAGGTGATGCACTCGTCCATGCGCTGCTGATCCGACATCTGCTCGTGCTTTCGGTCAACCTATAAGTAAATTTAACTCGACTTGTAAGTCATTTTGAGTCGACTCAAAAGGAGCATACCGTCGAGGAGGAATGTAATTCACTCGTCCATGAGCTGCTGATCCATCATTTTCTCGTTGCTTGCCTCCTCATGTGCTGCCAGCATGAGTGCCAGCAGATCCCGTGCACCCCGCCCTGCTGGCCCCCCCTGCTGCTCTCCATGTGCTTCCTCCGCCAGCCCTGCTGCTCTCCATGTGCCCGCCCGCCCTGCTGCCCCCCCTGCTGCTCCCCATGTGCTTCCTCTGCCCGCCTTGCTGCCCCCCCCTGCTGCTCTCCATGTGCTTCCTCCGCCTGTATTGCTGCCCAACCCCTGCTGCTCTCCATATGCTTCCTCCGCCCTCCCTGCTGCCCCCCACTGCTGCTCTCCATGTGCTTCCTCCGCCCGCCTTGCTGCCCCCCCCTGCTGCTCTCCATGTGCTTCCTCCGCCCGCCCTGCTGTCCCCCCCTGCTACTCTCCATGTGCCTATCGCCATGCACTGCTGCTGCTGCTGCCCGCGCTGCTGTCCCCCCCCTGCTGCTGCCTACGTGCCTCCTCGCCATGCACTGCTGCTGCTGCTGCCCGCTCTGCTGTCCCCCCCTGCTGCTGCCCACGTGCCTCCTCGCCATGCACTGCTGCTGCTGCTGCCCACCCTGCTGTTCCCCCCTGCTGCTCTCCATGTGCCTCCTCTGCATGCACTGCTGCTGCTGCCCACCTCTTGCCTATCAGGTGCAAGGTCAGGTTGCGGATGCTCTTTTCTGCTGCCCAAAGGGCAAAGTTTTCCGGAATTGGCAAGATGCTGCAATGGGGGGATAACAAGAGTACGGAAAGGGAACCAGGCAGTATATTTATCCTCCCATATCAACAATACATGCAGAGATAAGATAGGGGATGGAATCAGTGCCTAGACATTTCCCAGTAAATAGACCCAACTCGGTACAGAAAGGAATCCACTCTTTCCAAATGTTTTTTCGAAGAAAGGGAATGCACGACAAACACACACGACAGACACACACCTTGATAGTTGATGAACAGAAAGCGGGGTTGATGATCTGGTGCTGCCGGGCCCACAGAGATGCCTCTGAGAGAGGCAGACCATTTTCTAGCAGCCATGCTCCTATGTGTCTCCTATAATCTTGCACCAGACAATCACCGGGCCACAAGCCTCACCTTGATCGCTGCAGGGCGGAAGGCGGGGTTGATGATGCGGCGCTGGCGGGCCCACAGAGACCCCTCTGAGAGAGGCAGACTATTACCCATCAGCCATATTATCTTGCGTGCGCTTGCTGTCTTGGTGACTCGCCCGCTGCTCGATAGGAGCACCTGCCAGGGACGAGACAGGTGGATGGATCATGGATGGATGCTCGAGTAGCCTCAGCACCTTGCGTGCCCTTGCTGTCTTGGTGTACCGCTCACTGCTTGCTAGCAGCACATGCCAGAGACGAGACATGTGGATGGATCGTGGATGGATGCCCGAGCGGCCTCAGCACCTTGCGTGCCCTTGCGATCTTGGTATACCGCTCGCTGCTTGCTAGCAACACTTGCCAGAGACGAGACAGGTGGATGGAGGAAGACAGAGAGGACAATTGAGAGCTGTAAGGAGGGCAAAGGGGAGTGGGGAGATGAAGGGAAGGGATAGATGAGAGAAAGTGACGTGGGGAGGGGAAAACATGGACGGAAAAGGGAAGGTGAGAAGAGAGGGGACGTGAGTGGTGGACCCAGGAGCACTGTCTCTTGATTGTGTTCTGCATGCATCTCATGCAATCACATCTCATGCAATCACATCTCATGCAACCATCTAATGCAATCACATCACATCACATCACATCACATCGCATCGCATCACGTCAGGCAAATCACATCATATCAAACCATAGCATCGCCACATGACTGTACCTGTCTCACTAGTGCAGTGTCTGTTACCACCAGTTGCACCATTGCCCCTACAGTGAATCCAAACACGTCCCCATACTGCTCGCGCCACTGGTGCAGCTTCGGAAGCAACACAGCAAGGCCGTGGGTGGAGGGGGGGGAGTCGGGGGAGGGGGGGGGGCGGAGGTGCAGAGATTTATAGTTTTCGGGATGGCGGGGCACGAAAACGTGGGCACGGGAATCTCGTCACGAAATGGACACTAGGAGTTGAGGCAGGAAATTGTGTTGGCTTGCCTTGTAAAAATTCTATAAGTGTTGAGAGCAAGCTTGAACATAGCTTCACTATGGAAAAGAAAACAATAGAGTACAATGGGAAGGACCAGAACCATATAGAAACGAAGCGACGATAGTCGCGAACGTTCACGCAGAACGTTCCGACAACTACTCCAGCATGTGCGTTGCCAAGTCAGCAACGGCATGTGAAATTAACATGCCAGGTAAATTTATACCTATCTAGAAGTAGTTGTTCATGTTTCTGCAGTATTTGCAGTTACACATGCTTCGCTTGTGCAATATAGTCACTTCCTTTGATTCTGTCCGTTTTTGTGTTGTGGCTACCAAGTGTACTACGCGAATATTCCCTCCCAAAGTCATGACTTGGTCCAATTTCGCAGCGTCCAACCTTCCGCGCCTCCTCCCGTTCGTAACCCGCGGGAAATACCGCAACGGTGATCTAACGCGAATCCTCCCGAAGGCACAAAAACTTCGCCCCAGCACAAACACGAAACCTCAAGCCCGCGCAGACGCGAACCCAGAATGCAGTGCAAACATTTTGGCAGCTGCAGGATGCGCTCTACTGCGCGGATACATTTCGCTCAGAGCCCTCACGCACGAATACAGGCTCCTGTAGGGCCTTTCGCGTCAACACTCCCCTGCCCTGCTCGTGTCTGGGCAATTGAGGAGTTAGCACACGAAATAAAGCGAAAAGCTAACTGTGAGAGTACGGAGCTTATGCTGGCTTTGCTAGTGTGAAGAAACAAGAAAAATGAACTAGCACAAGGTTGGGTACAAGTAGGAAACCCTAGGAAACTGTACCCCATAGTGTCTACCCCACTATAGCCTAGACAAGCTATATAATATGAGTTTGACACACCCCCATAGGCAAAGTGGGGGAGAACAAGAGGTCAGAAGAGCAGTCAAGCAAAGCAAAGCAAACTCAGGGTGGATCACAACGTCACCACACAATCCAAGCACAAGAGCAATGCCACAAAGGCCAGTTCACATGCAATATCATATAAAAAAGGTAACCAAGCAAGGGCAGGTATAGAAAGATCACAGTACAAGCAAGGTCAAGAAGTGAGCAAGTGAGGCCAGGTAGGCACAAGACCTAGCATAGTACAAACGCGCTGAGGATCACCAGGCGGAAGTGCCTTGGTAAAGATATCAGCAGTGTTGGCCTCAGAGGCCACGTAAGCAAGGCGCAGGTGACCACGCTACTGCAGCTCAGGAGAAAGGAAGTAGCAGAGAGCAATGTGCTTCGTTCTGTGCTCCAGTCTGTGCTCCCGACACAAGGCCAGCATGGCCTTGTTGTCTACGTACAGAACTGGAGGAGAACGAGGCGGCTCTCCTAGGTCAGTCAGCAGGTAGGTGAGCCAGCGTAGTCATGGCCAGCCATGGCCCCCGCGTAGATCTCAGCCTCACAACTGGAGCCGAGAACAGAAGACGAGCAGGTAGACCGCCACGAAACAGAGCCAGAGCCAAGGCTGAAGGTGTAACCCTGTGACGACCGCTGCGTAGCCTGGTCGTCAGCCCAAGAAGCGTCTGCGTGACCTCTGAGGACCACTCGACGTCGTCCTCCAAGCACTAGCCCCATGCCCGACGTACTGCACAAGTAGCGCAACACCCTCTTCGCTGCAGCCATGTGCTCTGGTCGGTGTCTCCCAGGAGCAACATAGCGTGCCAAGATGCTAAGAGGGTATGCAAGGTCAGGTCGTGTGCAGGTCATCAGGTACATGAGGCAGCCAACAAGCTCTGGGTACGGGCCACTCGACTCTACGGACTCATCCGAAGGCAGAGCTGAGAGCGAGTGGCGAGTAGACAGAGGAGTGGCCTGAGGCGAGGAGTACGTGAAGTCGAAGCGCTGAAGGACCTGCTGCACCATGAGTGACTAAGCCTGGGTAATGGTGCGCTGTGCTCTGTCCCGGGTGATCTGCAAGCCAAGGTAGATGCAAAGTTCAACCAGGTCTGCGCACGTGTGTCTCTTCTGCAGCTCGGACTTCACGTGGGGGAGTCCAGCAGTGTCAGCAGTGGCAAAGACCAAGTCTGCGACATACACGAGGATGTAGAACGACGGCAGAGAGGTGTCAGTGCGCAGAAACAGCGACGGGTCGGCTGTAGAAGGAGCAAACCCAAGAGCTGCAAGTGTAGTCCTCAGTATGACGTGCCACTCACGGGGCGCCTCGCATAGACCGTAGACTGGCCGCCGGAGGCTCCACTGGGTACCAGAAGGAAACAACCCAGTGGATCCAGCGCAACCAGATCTCCTCGTGCAGGCTGCCTTGTAGGAAAGCAGTGCTGAATTCAAGAGAGTGAAGCTCGTAGTCGCGCTGAGCGGCTATGTGCAGCAGCACTCTTAGAGTGGTCATCTTCGGGGTGGGAGAGAAGGTCTGAAAGTAGTCAACTCCCTGCCGCTTACTGAAGCCTCGAGCCACGTAACGTGCCTTGAAAACAGGCGGAGAACCCGCCGGCCGCTTCACCCTGAAAATCCACATGCCACTAACGATGTTCGCCCCAGGTGGGGGAACCTCGTCGACGTAGGTGCCTGTGGACTTCTAGGATGCCATCTTTGCGTCCATGGCTGACTGCCACTGAGAGGAGTAAAGACCCTCGATCACCTCAGCGTACGATCGAGGAGTCTGGATGTTTGGTGCATCCGGGTCTCCCTCAAGGGCAATCAGCGTGGACACAAGATGAGGCAAAGCAACTGCAAAACACTTGATCCCCTTCTGCCTGTCCTCAAGGACGTCCATGCTAAGAGCAAACTCAATCCTGCCGGACGGAGGACACACAGACTCAGACTCAGCAACAAGACTAGCAGCATAGTCTAGAGGACAGCAAGCAACGAAGTCGACAAGCTCAGCAACTAGAGCAGGTGCAGCAAAGGACTCAAAGGAAGGGTCAGTGACAACAGTAGCCAGGAGACGCGTGACAGAAGGACTGGCAGCACGAAGAGAGTCAGACTCCGGGTCAGCAAGAACACGAAGAGAGGACTCTGGAGGAGATGGCAACGGGACACGCAGAGGAGCAGTGGAAGGACGCAGTGCCATCTGGTGTGTGCCTGGGACCGCAGGAGGACGCGGACGCGGCGCAGTACGACCACTAGTGCGAGCAGCACAAACAGGCGAGGCAGGACGAGACGCAGGCTCATGACGCTTAGCAAGACCTCCAGTAGGACCAGTGTAGGGAGAAGGAGCAAGCAGGGGGGAGGCGGGCTGTAGCTGTGACTACGACTCGACAGGCGGTGGACACTCTAAGGGAGGAGCAGGACCAATAGAAGGCGGAAGACCAAGAACCTGCTCAAGGAGCGGAACGAAGTACGGCCGCGGCCACGCAGCGCCTCCAGAATCAGCAGGGACAGCACCAGTCCCCCCAGCGGTAGTAATAGCGCCAGCAGCACCTCCAGCTCAAACAGCGCCAACTCCAGCACCCTCAGACGTACCAGCGCCACCAGCACCCCTAGTCCTAGCAGCTCCTGAACCACCAGTACGAGGACCTCTTGGACCAGCCGCAATAGTTGTACCTCAAGCTCCAGCAGCAGGGCTCTAGCACTGCGCAAACCACTCGCGCAGCTCCTGCGGAGGGAGTGGCTCCCGCATCGAAGAAGCACCGGGCGAGTCCACACGAGCAGACCCAACACCCCCAGGCTCAGCACCCGTAGACTCAGCACCCCCAGGCTCAGCACCCCCAGTCTCAGCACCCCCAGGCTCCGCACCTCGAGACTCAGCACCCCTAGGCTCCGCACCCTCAGGCTCAGCACCTCCAGACCCGGCACCCGCAAGCTCAGCACCTCTAGTAGTACCAGAGTCAACAGCTACCTTAACAGGCTCGACTGCGTCTACCTGGGACACACCTGACGGGGCAAGACCCTGAGGGGGGAGGGGGTCTACCGGGGGAGGACCTGGCGCAAGGAAGAGCGGCGGCGGGGGGAGGGGTGTAGTGCGGTAGGGGAAGAGACGGTAGTAAGGCACCAACTCATCAAAGGTGACGTCCCGGGAGGACAGAACACGGCGCGAGGTGGGGTGGTAGAACTGCCAACTAGGCGCGTCAGGGGGGAAGCCAAGGAAGACGCAGGGAACAGCACGATGGGACAGTTGCTGCGCAGACAAGTCACGAACAAACGCCCGAGATCCCCAGACCCAAAACGCAGACGCATCGTCAACCTTCCCCGTCCATCGTAGGGTGGGGGAGGTCTCTAGCAAGGAGACCCGGGGTTGGAGGTTGAGTTAATGCGCTGCGTACTGAACCGCAAACGGCCACAGAAAATGGGGGGCAGCCGCATGGATCATGGACGTACGAGCGACGTCCATGACCATGCCAATGCGGCGCTCAGCAATCCCATTTTGCTGTGGAGAGGCCGGAAGCGTGAAGGTCTGGCGGATGCCCTATGCTCGAGAGAAAGCTCCCAGACGGGCAGAGGAAAACTCCCCGCCTCTGTTAGAGTGCAGACGCAGAACAGGAAAGTCCGAGCCGAAACTCTCTCTTAGCTGGAGACGAGCTGCGCGGATCCAGTCGATCAACACCTCAATGACGTCGCCCTTGCTGCGCAAGGGGAAGACTGTTGTCTAACGCGAGTAGTTGTAAACCACCAACACGAAGTAACGCTCGTGCCCCTCGCCACGGACGCGGGCGGGGCCCCACACGTCCGTGAGAAGAGTCTGCAGCGGAGCCTCCGTTGGAGGAAACTCCGAGGAGTGAGGGGCGGCGCGCTGTCGCCCCTCGGCACAGGGGACGCAGGTAGGGGCAGGCCCCGGAGGTAGGGGAGGGAGAGACCGGGGGAGACCAGAGACAAGGACACGGGAGGCCATGCCTCGGAGACGAGGCAGGGAGGGGTGACCAAGGCGGTGGTGCCAAAGGAGAGTCTGGTGGGATAGGAGACGACACGAGCAAGGAGCAGACTTAGGACCAGACCTGGACGCTGCAGCAAACACCTGACTCGACGCAGCTACCTAACCAGACTCAGCAGCCAGAGGAGACTCAGTAGTAAGAGTGTACAGGCTCGACCCCGGCCGACGGGTGAACGTGGCCAAGTGTCGGCCTGTCCGAGCACACGTGCAGTGGGTCACCCGCTGACTCGCAGGAGTGATCTGGTCAATCCCCCTATCCTGTAGATCAGCTCCACTCACCAAGTTCGTAGAGAACAAGGGGAGGTAGAGACCGGAGAGAGTGCCAGAGGGGGCTGCCGGGCACGGTAAGATAGTGGAGGAGCTAGCAAGGACAGGACCCCCAGAAGGGTCCGCTAGGGAGACTGTAACAGGCCGACTAAGCGGCGTAAGTGTGGTGCGGTCTCGAAAGAAGGAACGGGAAGCACCGGAGTCAAGGGCGATTGTGTGTAAGGCCTGAGCTTGACGTGGTACCTGAGAGAGCCGACTCACCAGTACTTGGAGCGGCAGACGCACTAGCACCTAGACTAGCAGCCTCACCAGCACCTAGAGCAGCAGCCGCAACGCTCGGGTCTGGCGGAACACACAGGTAAAAGTCACCCTCAGCACTATCAGATACAGCATACATGGCAGCAAGAATAGCATCATAATCAAGATCAAAGATAGCAACCCCTGCCCTAGACAGCTCTCCCCAGCGAGGGATCTCAGAGGCCTCAGGGAACTGGTGACGCCACACATCCGTCAGGCGGCCAAAGCAGCGCTGGGTGGAGTACGGGCCCTTGCACTGCTCACCAGCGCAGTCGCCGGTACGGAGGACGTAGGTGCAGGGACCAGTACCCCCACCGCGCTGACGCGCAGCGTACCACTCACGAAGTTGCCGAGGGGACAGGGTCTCACAACTGCGCTGCTGCTGCTGACGCTGACCACCACCGGACCCACTCCTGTGTGTAGGGCCGCAACCAGGTCCACCGCTGCCGCCGCCGCCTCCGCTCCCTCCGCCACCGCCGCCGCCTCCACCGCCTCCACTGCTACCACCGACACCTCCATCCCCACCACCACTCCCACCACCCCCACCCCCTCCACTGCCTCCACCACCCCCTCCACCGCCCCCGCCAGCCCCTCCAGCGCCCTTGCCCCCCTTGGCCTTGCCGGTGCGGCGTCTCTTGCTAGGAGCAGATGCAGCGCCGACCGACTCGTAACCAACGAGGTCGGCCGCAGCAGCAGAAGCAACAGAGGGCAAGAGGGGGGAGGGGGAACACCCCTCAAAGACGGGGGTGCAAGGGTCACCACGAGAGGCTCCTACAGCGACTATGCTCTTCTCTGCTGCTAGGAGGCGCTCCTCGAGGAGGTCAACGGTGAGCGTGGTGGGGCACACTAAGAGGAAGTGGTCTCTGACCAAGCGAAGGGAGTCAGGGAGCCGGGTGACTATGTAGTACAGGGTGATGTACATGGGGGGGGGGGGGGTTCTTGGCACAGAAGTCAGCAGGAAGCGCAGCGCGGTAGCGAGTGTCACTAGTGCGGAGGTGCGTAATGAGGTCAGCGACTGCGGGAAAGGCAGCAAGGTCAAGGAAGAGGTACGGTAGCATGAGGCGGCTCAGTGCAGCAGTGGCAGGAGAGGAGTAGCGTGCAACTACAGTGTCGTACAAGGTCTTAGCACTCTTGTACTGGCTAAAGTGCGCGCGCTCAGTGGTCCGTAAGTGGCGACGCACAGCAAGACGTGCAGCAGCATCGCGTGTGGCCCATTGTGAGCGAACAGTGCTGTCAGCAGTAGCAGGCGGGGCAGGGGAGGCACCAGAGGTGAGATCGAACAGGGAGAGTCCGTCTGCCCTATCGCACTGTAGGAACATTTGGAGGTCATCTACCCAGACCTCAAAGTCAACAGCACGACCCTCAGTATCAAAGGTAAGAATAGTGGGGGTAGCCATGACTGCACTGGCCTAACAGGAAGTGATCTCACCAGTCGGAGGAAGTAGTGTCGGGGCGGGCCTGTAGGAACAGTAGTGGCTCGACGGCAGGGCGGCTCGGCTGCTGGGCGATTCGGCGGCTCGGCGGCTCAGCTACTGGGTGGCTCGGCTGTCGGGCGGCTCAGGTGCTGTTCGGCTCGGCTGTCGGGCGGCTCGGTTGTCGGGCTACTCGGCTGTCAGGCGGCTCGGCTGCTGGGCGGCTGCTCGGTAGAGGCGGCGTTGGGGCCGCTAGGGGTGGTGACGGGGCCGCGTAGGGAGGGAAGCAGCAACGGGGCCGCTAGGGGCGGCTTCGGGGCCGTCTAGTGGCGGCGACGGGGCCGCGTAGGTAGGGGAGCGGCGACGGGGCCGCTAGGGGCGGTGACGGGGCTGCTAGGGGCGGCAACGGGGCTGCTAGGGGCGGCGACGGGGCCGCGTAGGGGCGGCGACGGGGCCGCGTAGGGTGAGAGGCGGCGATGGGGCCGCTAGGGGCGGTGACGGGGCCGCTAGGGGCGGCGATGGGGCCGCGTAGGGGCGGCGACAGGGCCGCGGAGGGTGAGAGACGGCGACGGGGCCGCTAGGGGCGGCAAAAGGGCCGCGTAGGGGCGGCGACGGGGCCGCGTATGGGCGGCGACGGGGCCGCGTAGGGAAAGAGGCGGCTACGGGGCCGCTAGGGGCGGCGACAGGGCCGCTAGGGGCGGCGACGGGGCCGCTAGGGGCGGCGATGGGGCCGCGTAGGGGCGGTGACGGGGCCGCGTAGGGTGAGAGGCGGCGATGGGGCCGCTAGGGGCGGCGAAAGGGCCGCGTAGGGGCGGCGACGGGGCCGCGTAGGGGCGGCGACGGGGCCACGTAGGGGCAGCGACGAGGTCGCTAGGGGCCACTAAGGGCCTGGGAGGGTGGCGAAAAAGACGCGCCTCGGGTAGGAGCAACTGAGGCTCCGGTCAGAAAGAAAATTTTAGTGGTGGGCCCAAGGAAGTGTTCCCACGAGGGAACCAGCTCTATATCATGTGAAGAAACAAGAATGAATGAACTAGCACAAGGTTGGGTACAAGTAGGAAACCCTAGGAAACTATACCCCATAGTGTCTACCCCACTATAGCCTAGACAAGCTATATAATATGAGTTTGATAGCTAGCTTGCCTAGACTTTATTACGCTATATCTAGCTTGGGTTTGATTTATCATGCATACATATGCTTGATCTCCTAGGATAGGTGCATTCCTATATTTTATTATAATTATAGCACCGAACAAGGTTACGTGTACCGAACTCAAGCCTATTCGGTTTCCACCGAATTGCTTTCTACTGAGTTTGGGAAGGTTCTGTTCGGGACGATTCACGACCCTCAAAACATTCGCGTAACACCTGGGTAACTGGCCTTGTCTCGAGACTATATATAGCCTCGTGTTGTACCCAGGTGGATCAATCAATTACAATTCTCTTTTCTGAGCTCGATCCTAGATCCTCACACTTGGTAATCAGAGCTCGTTTACACGCAATAGTGTTTCGACTGCTAAAACCGAGTCTACAACAACCGCAGGGGCGACGCAGTTAAACATCAATTTCGGGTACGTAAAACCGGTTCCGTGTTTTTCGCTCCCCCTCGTTTCGTTTTTTCGGACGCGCAATGTCAGGCATGGAGGGCTAAGGCGAAAACTATGCGACCACGAGCGACATCGCGAGCCTCCGCACCGACATGGAGCAGACGTAGGTGGCACTACGACGACTCGAGGCCCTTCTGACACACCAACCAGGACTCGCCACCACAGCAGCAGCGAACGTAGCAGCGACAACACCCGCAGTAGTGGCGACACCGACATTTCACGGACCGATGGCACCACTGTCGCCGAACCTTGAAGCAGCACGACCGAGGCTCCCTGAAGCGTTTGATCCTTGCGCGAAGGGATCCGACGTCCCACGATTCGTGGCAACCCTCGAAATTCACTTCGAGGCCATTGGCTGTTCGACCCCGCAACACGACGCAAGAAAAATTTGGCTCGCAGCGACAGTGTTACGTGGACCGGCACTCGAATAGATTTATTACACTGACGTCGCCCGTGGGGAAAAAACGTGGCAGCAGTTTCAAGCAGACTTAATCGAGCGTTTGGAACCCATTAATACGACCTACATGGCGCGGCAGCAGATACACTATAAGAAGCAATAGAGTAGTGTAGCACAGTACAAGCAGCAGATGGAGCTCCTGTTAAATCGCATCACCGACCTGACTAAAGGCGAAAAAATCCAGGCGTACATAGAAGGGTTAAAATTGGAGATTCGCCGACAGGTCATCGCCGCGAATCACAACAGCTACCGCGACATCGTGCGTGCTGCCGAGCGATACGACGCATTGACTCGAGGTCAACCCGAAACACGATGCTTCACGCCGAACTGTACATTCGGCACGGAGCGATCGGCACCCCCCACGTTCGCTGAACCGATGGGCATCGACAAATACGACGCGAAGCAGCAGTCGACAAAATGCGAATTTTGCGGCGTCAAGCACGGCATCAGTTTTTGTCGTGCCACAAAATGAAAAAGGCACGTGCGGCACTGCAGGGCGGTACCAGTGGAGTACCCTCGAAGTTAAAAAATGGGAATCGCCAGTAGCCGCGGATCGACTTGACGATCGCGTAACGATCCGAAAAGCAGGAAAATGTGACGACGTGGCGACTTCGGAGTGGGTGAAAAAAGGAGAAAATGATGGCGCGAATCCAAAACGTCACGACCGGACGGCATCAGGGGAAATTGCCGAGGCAAACAGAGGCTACGCGAAAAAAGACTCTACACCGACCGGGAAACTCCAATCGAACACCCACGAAAGTAAGAATTCGTTAAAGGTATACTATGAAGATACTCTAACGAAGAATATTGCTTCTCGTGGTTTTCAAGCCTTTGAAAAATTCAGGGGAGATTTAGCGACCAAGAAAAAGCCTCTAGAGATTATTCAGGTACCCGAGAAGTTGGGCAAAGTACTACGGAGCGTAGAAAAGGGTCGTGCGTTCCGTGGAATTAATATTATCTACCCGCAGCACTGTGTTAAGGCTCCCCATTGCCCACAGGTGAAGCCGACATAGCTGCCAAGGCTTAGAGGAAAATTCCAGGCTCTTGAGAAGTTGTACAAGCCTCGGAAAAATCCGCCTACCCTCCAGGTGAAGTTGGAAGAGATAAGTGCTGAGTCAAGTATAGGAAATAGGGATGGTATTTGTTAAAAACAAAGGACGGAGTCTATGAAGATTAGGTGCCCAAATTTCTCAAAATCGTTGGTCTCAATTTCTGGACAGAAACGTCGACTTCACAAGAAACGTTGTCGACGAAAGATGCACTGTTAGAATCCCACGAAATTCGAATATTTTGTAGCCCTAGACCGTGGCTACATTTCCCAATTTGAATCGTATCAAAATATGAAGCATATCTCGAGTTATACTTTTCGGCGCACTAGGGGGTATGCTGCCACAGAAATTTAACTCAATCACAATTAACTCACAAGTCCCACAAAAGAACATTAGAGTAACACTAAACCTGGTAGGAGAGGAAGAGGAGGACGAGAGGGAAGGTCCCAAAAGAGAGTCCCCAACCAAGGAAACCCCATGCCACGCAATTCCCTTCCCCATAGGCAACAAACTTTGACCTTTGTCACTTTCCAACCCATGCCATCCACCTCACCACAACTTGGCCACACTTACCAACCTGGTTTGGCTTCACCCAACCTCTTGGCAGCATCTACAGTGATGGGTTCGAATTTCCCAACCCCCACAAGTCTGTACCCCATATTGAGTCAATGCCACAACTTCCCAAAGTAGCTGCAACCAAAATATATAAGCATACGAACTCCAATGTTCGTAACTTTCTTGGTTGTGCTCCGATCGCGACGATTCATGGTTCGTCGGAAAGCTCTTGAGTAGAGGAATCACTTCAGATATCTGCTCAAGCCAAATAACACACACACACACACACACACACACACACACACACACACACACACACACACACACACACACACACACACACACACACACACACACACACACACACACACACACACACACACACACACACACACACACACACACACACACACACACACACACACACACACACACACACACACACACACACACACACACACACACACACACACACACACACACACACACACACACACACACACACACACACACACACACACATACACACACACACACACACACACACACACACACACACAACACACACACACACAGATACACACACACACACACACACAGAAAATCCAAACCACACAAGACACAAATTTCTTGCACACGCTCACACCACGCATGCAACGCACAAACACATGATGGGAGGCAAACAGACGTGAATGCATATGGTTGCATCACACAACAGTATTCACTTTGATATAACTAATGATCCTATCAAAAGACCCTCTTTGGCTACTCAGTGCAGCAGGCGCCACTATTCCTCGAGGTGTTATGCAAAGGACAATGCATCCAGGCACTGGTGGACAGCGGTG